TGACATTAGGCTACTCTATCACAGCTAGAAGCAAAATTCCTCATATACATGACAATTACTGATAGGATACTATGTTGTGAAGATCTAATTTTTTTTTTTTAATCTTCTCATATTGATACTAAGCAGAAGAAGCTTCTTTATGATTTGTATATTTAAACCCATTGGCATCAAGTCATGTCTGACTCATAGTGACCCTATATGACAGAGAAGAACTTCCCCTTAGGGTTTCCAGGGCTGTAATCTTTACAGAAGCAGCCGGCAGAGTAGATGGTGGGTTCAAATCACTGATCTTTTGCTTATCAGTCGAGCTCTTAACCACTGTGCCACCAGGGCTCCTCTTTGTATGTTCACCACACACAAATCTGTTCGATGATTGAAGTTCATACTACCTCACAGGTTCTTGACACAAATCACTCCCTTTTATTTTCCTCATATAGCATATTCAGGTAAATGGTTAAGATTAGAACTATGCTTGGGATAACCCTGCCCAAGAATCTTCAAAGTCTGCACTTTCAAGTGTCCTATAATCAAACCTGTACTCAAACATTTACACCTACTCAAAATACCTACTCCCAAGTCAGTCTGCTACCAAGGTAAAATTAATCACTTTATCTTCCAGATGTTTTCCTACAAACTAGCTGCGTAAGTTATTAAAATTCTGCTGGCTTTAGCTGTCTCATCCAGGAAACTACATGCAAGAAACTACTTTCTCTAAACTGGTATGTTATGAGAATTGAATGAGATACCGATCATGCATATTCTTTGAAATTCCATTTCTTCAAAGAAAGGCATAATTTCTAAAATGTTAACTTTTATTTGGTTTTGCTAATTTTCCTGGATAGGGCTGCCTAAATTTTTTTGAATTTTCAATTCTATGTCTTGGCTCAAATGAACTATTTGAGTGTAACTTGCTGGATCAAATCACTATGTGACCTCCTTAACCATCAGTATCCCTGTGGAAGTCTTAACATGCCTAAAATATTCCCCAAAATGGCATCTGAACCTAAAGCAAAATTTTTATTATTAGACATACTTCTAGAAATACCTAGTATAGACACCTATATAGTGGGACTTAGCAGATATCCAATGGCTCATACATGAATGCTTGGCTTCTTTTATACTCAAAAGGTCTCTATAGACCAACCCAGGCTGCTCACCTAGAGAAGGTACTAAAGGAATTGGGAGGTTGCCAAAAGAAGCAAGAGCTAATGATGAAGATACAATTTTAGCGCTTTACAAGGTTAACTTTGGTCAGCTATGATAGTAAATTAACATGATGACTCTGTCTTGGCACTGATTGATTACAGATAGTCAAAGGGCACCAGGCCACTGTGACTGATAATCAGGTGGAGTACACATAGACCACTAGTGGCAATTTCAGTACGGCAACTGGATTGAAGAGCTGGATGAATATCCTCTACCAAATGAATTCCAACTTATAAAATAAGCACCTCTGGTTCTCAACACAGGTCAAAATGGGCAATTGCACCCTGTATGAAATGTTTCCTGAGTATCATCATTGTCATTTTACACATTAAATGTAAAAATGAGGCTGTAAGGTAAGTACACAGTTACATTAGCCTGGTTTCCACAACTTCAAACATGAATGTACACTCTCACATTTCTAGACTGTAATTATTTTCTTATGCTACAAATTCTGAAAATAAATGTGGATACACTTTTTCCTTTAAACAAATTCAATACAACAAGAAAAATATGTAGAGTTGATCAATGGTGTCTAAATAAGTCTGTCTTTTAATCAGTAAAAAAAATTTTAATGGAATGAATAATTTGTTTCTTTCAGAAATAGTTACTTATTAAAGAAATACTTGAATGATTAACTCCACTCTTCGAAAATAATTAGGACTTCACAAGACAGGGAAGTTGCTGATAACCTTGGAAATTAAGACACCTGTGTCAAATTACTTCTGTAATAAAATCTGCAATGAAACCAAAATTACAATGAACATGTGTTTCTCTCATTATAGCCTTGCACTGCTTAGCGATTACTAGAAAAATGTGATGCTATTTTTAGCAAAACAGCTTCTAAATCATTCTTAGACTAGATAACTGGGAGTATGCTTTCTTCTTTCTCAAAAAAGAAAAAAAAGTGTATCGTAAAGTTCTACCTTAGCTGCTTAGTGAAAAAGCTTACCAGATATAATCTGTTGCTTTATGTGCTACTAAAACAAGCTATGGTTGTTACACTGGATCATAAAATATTACAGCCTACAAAATCTCAAAAGATCATGTTAGATTCTGGCAAACCAAATGTGCCCTTTTCTTCAATGAAACTCTTGATGTCAAAGGTGTTAGGTGATTGATCTTCCAAGGTTACACAGTATTGAAAATTTCTACTGGCCTGGGTGGTTTTGCCTACAAAGTTGGACTCTGGGGACACACTGGTGGTCAAAGGAAGTATTGCAAGGGAGGCTCGTGTGTTTGTCTCCAGCTGGAGGTTTTGACATATACATCTATTCTTGCACAACTGAGGGACCTCAAGTCTAAGGGTGAGAAGATGTAGGCTTTGTGCAATTACAGCACTAGGGTATGACCACAAATATGAGCAGTCACACACATGTGCTAAACCGAAAGTCTCCACAAACTACCTTGATGCACATTCCAGCCCTTAGAAACAGAGGTTATACGAACGCTGGTTCATTTTTTTCTAATGAAGGGAATAAGACATTTAGGAGTTCTCATAGGCCTATGATTCAAATCTTGAGCTGCAAACTGATAGTCTTCTGCCTAATATGTCACTTAGATATGTTTGTTAGAGCTAACTGTTACATGTAACTAGGCTAGTATTATCCTTGATCACAATTCAAGCAAATTCATAACAACTGTCATTACACCTACCCACTTCATCAATTTCTATTATCCTCTAGGCCCCTAGTGGCACTGAGTTTGCAAACACGAGTCTTAAAACACAGGTTGTCTGCTTCCTGTAGCAATACCTATTCTATGCCAGCATACTGGCTTGTAATTTTTATCTCATAACATCTCTACCAAAAATAAGAATGAAACCCAAAGACTCAAAATTATGACCATGTGGCATGTGAGAAGCACTTTGCTAACTGTAACTCTCAAAAATAACTGCCACTTCCATTTGTATGATTAGTCTCATATCAAATGAAGTCTCTGAGCTGAAGACTGTGTGGTTTCCCAGATGTAAGTATTTGTGTAGTTGGGGATGGAGGTGATTGGAGATGATAGACTAAAACAGGGGAAGGGCGTGGCCAACTACCACAGCACCTGGAACCTGATTAGAACTCCATAGTCTCTATGAGTGAGTGAATTAATAACTGCAAGAACAGTCAGATCTCTGAAAAATCTAACTCAAGGTTTAATCATTAGTCCCTCTCCACTTGCCATAAATTCAAAGTGAAGTCACAGAAGATCTATATTCCTGAGAGACACTATACTTTTTCTCAGAACTCTCCCTCATTATTTGGCACAGTGTCTATTGGTCAAAAAGTATTGGATAACAGATAATAGAATGAAGGGCAGCAGCAGTGACAGTCACTATACAAAACACTGACCTACATTAGCTCATTTAATCCCCATAATAACCCTGTGAATTTGACTATATTTATTGTACCAATACTATAGATGAGTATAGTGAGGGACAAGTTTTCAAAACTTGCCAATTCACAAACTAGTAAATTATAGAGCAAGAACTCAAACCAAGGCCTGACTTGCCCAAAGCCCATGCTTGAATAAAGGAGTAAGTGCATGACAAAATGAATGAAACTATAGAGTGTTTTTATACTGGAAAAAAGAGGAAAGGTTTTGTGTAGAGAGAATTTAATTTAGTGAATGGCCAACTCGTTGATCTTTGTTATACCAAACTCTCAAGCATCCCAAAGTATCACTATGCCCGCAGTGAATAACAAGCAATTGTGAGAGAGTGAATCATAAGCATGTGGGCAGGAGAATCGGGATGGGACAAAGGCATTCAGAAGAGACACACAGGCACTATGGCACCAATTCCCTCCATCTGGTTAACAGTCACCAATAGAAGGCAGTAAAACTGAGTCCTTCATTTTTTAATAATTATTCTAAAATCCCTAGGCTTAAGTGAAACACTATGCTGAACATAAGCTCAGCTTCCTTTAACAAAGTTTCTTGGCATTTTGTAGCAACTTACGGCCATCAGTTTGCTCAATTAGATTGTACTGCAGATCGACAAAAGAGGCAGTTAAGAGAGGGCTCCTGAAGAGAATGCTGGATAAGCCAGCTCTTACCAGGAAGTGTTTTTTTGTTGTTTTTTTTTTAATTCCCATTTAATTCTTTCTTTCTTTTCCCTTTACTTTTTTTATTTTCTCCCTTCCTGCCTTCTGACTCCTTCAATTTCTTTTGAAATCACTCCATATAAATAACAATTACAAATATATTTTTTGACTGTCTCTACTTTACAAAGCAAATATTTTTACAATGGTGGTATTATTCATAAAGTACCACATTCGAACAATTGATACTGTCATTTGTATAATCAGTCACCATAATTAGTCGACTAAGTGACTCTGAAAGTGAGGTATTTTAATCACAATTGGTACATGAGGAAATAAGTTCCATGTGTTTACCGGGCTCATAAAAATGACAAAGCTGGTACAGGAACTGAACTGTAAATACCTCACATTCAGCAACAGGCTGTAAGCTGATAATATCACTTGATACCATTATCAAGTGGACTAGCTCAATACTATGCAAGAAATGACTATCTTTAATAATACTGAGCTATATGTGGGTTCCCAGTCCCTGAAAAGCTAGCTAAGTGGACTGTAGCAGCATAGCAAATCTATTTGTTCCTGGAAGACAGTTTGGAGAGTTTAGAAACTGAGCCACATGGCTCAGATTGTTGTGTCTGCTTCTGCATTTTTTATCCCAACCAGTATTAATGTGCCCTAAAACACCACATACTGCTACCCTCTTAAATCATTTGAATGTGAAATTATCATCCACAATACCATCATAAGAGAGGAATAAAGACAGATTACCTGGGGTTAAGAGGATGACTGACATAGTGATGAGTGAGCATACAACTAAAATCACCAGCAGGGCAATAGCAATCCCCTTCCAGTTTCTCTGTGGAGGGCTGTTACTTCCCAGTTCCTACAGAGATAGACAAAAAAAAAAAAAAAAAGATTCATAATTATACATGCTCCGAGAGAAATGTATTCATAAAGGAATAAATCAGTGCATGGTGCAATCACAGTATGAAAGCTGATTAGAATAGTTTTCCTCTTTGGTAGCTCATTTAATTATTCAAAGGTACACATATTTATAAATGGCTATCTTTTGGGGAGCAATTTGATTTCTCAAAGAGACAAACAAGCAGAGTTTTACGTCTGCTTCCCAAAATGTAGCTAATGTTAAAATGCATTGACTATAAACTCAAAGACAATAGTCAAAATACTCTGCAAAATAAGTATGGAAATAAACTGTGCACATTTACATTTATTCTTTCTACAATGCAACTCATAATAAACATTTAAATACAAATGTTTCTAAAGCACAATAGACTATGCTGCAAACTAGAAAAACCAAAAATCCCGTTGCCATCCAGTCAATTCTGACTCATAGCAACCCTACAGGACAGAGTAGAACTGCCCCATAGGGTTTCCAAAGAACAGCTGGTGGATTCGAACTGTTGACCTTCTGGTTAGCAGCCAAGCTCTTAACCACTGTGCCACGAGGGCTCCTTCTAACTAGAAAATGGTGGTGGGGGGAGATTAGAGATGGGAAAATAATTCATCATGTCCCTCACTGCAGACCACTCAACATTTGTCAACACAACAGGTCCTTTTTAAATGGTTCCCCCAACACTCATGAAAATTAGCAGGATGTCGTAACTAAATTAAATGAGTCCTTCTACAGAAGTGGTTAACGGCATTCTCTCCCTGGATGGCATGCATGGTATTGGGAAGGAGGAAAGATTGACAGAGAAGGATAAGCTTTAGCATCTCTCACAATGCATGTAGTAAAGCTTTTCATTTTTCAGATGGCCTCTGTTCTACACTGTTGAAATATGTGAGCATAATTCGTGGAAGAGACCATACTGGTTTAAAATGAATACCAGGTTTTCCTTGCAATAATGTTTATAAAATGCTGAGTCTCCTGTTTCTTCCTTCCTTCCAACCCCACCCCCAAGCATCTTTTCATCCTTTCCCAATATAACCTTCTTTATTCAGAAATAACTAACTGATTTGAGGACAAATGAAACAAAACATAAAGATACCCGGTTTAAGACGGCTGTGGAAATCACCAAGGAAGCCATAGATCAGCCGTGCTTTAAGCAAAAATAAAGAGAACAGCAATCATTTAATACTTTATAAGGGGGTTCCGTGACTCACAGATTTAAACATTAAAACAAATTTTCATCTGGTGACTTTGGTATTCAACTTTGCTGTAAACACATTAGCCTTAAAGAACTACCAGTAACCAGTTGCCATTGACTTGATTCCTACTGCACATGTTTTGAGTAGAACTCTGTTCCACAGGGTTTTCAATGGCTGATTTTTTGGAAGTAGATTGTCAGGCCTTTTTTTCCCAGGCAGCTCTTGGTGAACACCAACCACAAACCGTTCAATTAGCAACCAAGTGCATTATTGCACCACCCTGCAACTCCTTAAAGAACTAGGCCCTACACAATCAGCCAACTTGACCTCATAGACAAATATAGAACACTCCATCCAACCGCTACAAAGTACACATTCTTTTCCAATGCACATGGAACATTCTCCAGAATAGACCACATCTTAGGCCTCAGAGCAATCATCAAAAAGATCCAGAACGTTGAGATAATTCAAAGTATCTTCTCTGACCACAATGCCATCAAGGTAAAACTTAACAACAGAAAGAGCAAGGAAAAAACATCAATTACATGGAAACTGAATAATACCCTGCTTACGCATCACTGGGTAATAGAAGAAAACAGAAATGGAATCAAAAAATTCCTAGAATCAAATGAGAATGAAAACACATCATACCAAATCCTTTGGGACACAGCAAAGGCAGTCCTCAGAGAACAATTTATAGCAATAAATGCATGTATCAAAAAAGAAGAAAGGGACAAAATAAAAACATTAACTACAGAACTCAAATAACTAGAAAGAAAACAGCAAAAAAAAAAGCCCAAAACCACCGGAAGAAAGGAAATAGTAAAGATCAGAGCAGAAATCAATGAAATAGA